GAGTGTGTCAGGGCGTACTGTCTCTTTCTGTTGTTGTTTGTGTGATAGACATCGTCGGACCCAGCTGTTCGAGTAACCTTTTCCTTAAATACTTGGTAGAGGTATTCTTCTTTGTTTTGGCCTAGTTCCGGATTGCGGCAGTGTGTTGTCGCTCATTTAAATAGTGTTTTTATGCAATTCCATTTATGGGTGTTAGGGTGGTTGCTGTTGAAATTCAGAACTTGATCCGTGCATGGCCTTTCTGTGTACCTTTGTCAGAAATTCCCCGTTGGCCCTGCATTCTACTGTGACGTCCAGAAATGGGAGCTGTTCGTTCTTTTCTTCCTTGGTGAATTTGATGCTGGTGAGAGTGTTTATAAGTTGGTGTGTCTCCTCTAGTTTAGTCCGCTTGATGACAACGAAAATGTCATCCACGTATTGGATCCATAGTCTAGGCTGGATCTGCGGAAGGGCTATGCTTTCAAGTCTCTGAACAACGCTTCATCAGAGGCTGCACTGATGATGTTACCCAGCAGGGTAATGAAACGACTGAACTAACAAACCAGCTCGACGAGCGAACCAACCACAGCATCCACGACCTGAGCTAAAAATCTACTCAAGAACCTTAGGCACTTTTGGGTGCTCAAATTGGCTGGGAAATGGGAAACCTACACCAAATGACAGAGAGCTACCTGCGAGCAACTCTACTTCCTGCATGGATGCCTCCGGAACCAGGTATTACCACGCAGTGTTAGATACAAACCTCCCATCAACAACAGAATGCACATAGGACAGCAGAACACAATAGCCGCAGAATGGTGAAGGCAATGATTAACCAATGCCACAGATATGACAGGGAAATTATGTGCCAAAAAGCCTTATTCCTAAATGCAACCAACCAATCTAGAGTGGACAACAGGCTTAGAAAGAGCCTTTAACATCAGTCAACAAATAACAAGAGCCAAGGAAGACCAATCCTACAAGAAAAACTAGCCAAACTAAGCTACCAAAGTTCAGATACGTGGGTAAGAAACCTCTTAGACAGGACACGAACAGACAGAGAAGGCTCTTCTAATACGTGGACTCAACTACAACCACTCAGATGCTAATAGGACAGAGTTCCTTGCCACACTCAAGACCAACGGCTTTCCTTCATTGGTCAGGGCATACAGTATAAAAATTGGCAAGTATTTTGCAGCTGTATAGAACTTTAGTTAATCTACATTTGGAATATTGTGCACTGTTCTGGGTACCACACTACCAGAAGGAAGTAGAGGCTTTGGAGAGGGTACAAGAAACAGTTTACTGGAATGTTGCCTGGTTTGGTGGGTATTAGCAACGAGGACAGATTAGGCAAACTTGGTTTGTTTTCACTTGAATGTCAAAAGATGATGGACGACCTGATAGAAATTTACAAAACTAGGAGTTATGAATAGTCAGTCTCTTTCCCAAGGGAGAAATGCTAATTACCAGGGGGCATAGGTTTAAGGTAAAAGTTTAAGATGACAGGCAAGTTTGGTTTTTATGGAGAGGGTGATAAGCTCGTGGAATATGCTTCCAGAGTCAGTGGGGGAGGCAGATACAACAGCAACATTTCAGAGGTGTTTTACAGACATGTGAATTGGCAGGGACTAGGGAGATATGGACTGCATAGAGGCAAAAGGTTTTTAGTTTAAAAAGGTATCACATGTCGGCACAGGCTTGGTGGTCCTAAGGGTGTGTTCTTTGTTTGTTCTTCGTTCATTGTGTTTTCAAAGCCAAACATAAGCTTTGTTTTCCGTTTTTCAAATGATAATTTTCAACATTTGCAGCTTCTTCAAGTGGCATTTATCATGATATATAAATGCAGAGATGTAATAGGCCCCGAGTTACACGTGCATTTGTCCCTAATAATGCAAACCTTTCAGCTCTAACCTACCTGTCATCTTAGAGTCCCAGACCAGAAGCTGGCATGGACGAAGCGGGGCCTTCAGTTTTGAAGACCTGTGTGGTCTGGCGACTTGGTCCAGTGCAGTCTGGTGGCTAGGTGTTGGCACAGACTTGGTGAAAAGGACTGTAATTAGAGTACTTTTTACAAACTTTGTATTCCTATGCTGGATTTTATTTGTTATTCTTTCAACGCTGTAACAATACTTAAGTATCTGCATCCAGATATCCTGTACCTAAGGTGGTCCCATAAGCAGCAACATTGCAAACGTTTCACTTCACAATAAAACCAATTCTAATTCTGATTAGCAAATGCTTCGACCAGCCGATCAACAGCAAAAGGAATGCAGTTACAGCTCTGGAATTAGTAGATTGTACTTTTTAATCTCACATAGGGTGTACTTGAATAGGATGTGTTTTCTTCGCCTTCAAAAAACAACTTTGGGGGATGCTACTAGGCCTGTTTATCCAGTTGACAGTTCTGTGATACTCCTTCATGGAATAGGAGTTACCTAAAGTCAATCTCACTGCTAGGATCAATATTAGTAAATTCAGCACAAGCTACAAGTTTATTCAAAACGACATTCACTATATTTAATGCTTCAGTGAAATTGTTGTCTTCTGTGCTGCCACGGCTGGCAAAGCTCTGAAGGAGTAATTCTGCATTAGCCAAACTCGTGCACACTTGCCATATAACTGTACCAACCAGTGAGTGAGAGTGGAGATGGATCACACTGGAGCACCAAACCACAATCAAATCTGTAGCAAAGACTGCAAAATGTTTTTGTTCTCATTCTGAACGATAATTAAAACTTCTATAACAAAATGAAGCTGAGCAAAACTGCCCTTTAACGTTTAGAACAAAAGAGAAATACAGCACAGAAACAGGCCCTTTGGCCCTCCAAGTCTATGCTGATCATCATGCCCTGACTAAACTAAAAAAAAACAAACCTTCTACCCTTATTTGGTCCGTATCCTTCTATTCCCTTCCTATCATGCAACTATTCAGATGCCTCTTAAATGTTGCCAATGTGCCTGCTTCCACCATCTCCTCTGGCAGTGCATTCCAGGCTCCTACCACTCTCTGCGTGAAAAACTTCCCTTGCACATCTCCCTTAAACTTTTAGACTCTCATCTTGAACCTGTAACCCCTTGTAATTGAAAGTTCAACTCAGGTTTAAAGCCTGGAACATATAAAGGTGGAAAACAAAGCTACAAATTTATCACTGCGATGGTCTGCACCAAAATGATGGCACTGAAAAGTGACCACTTTGTGAAACAATGTCCAAGAAGCCATCTTGCTTTGAATGTCAAGACACTACCCATGCAGTAAAGGTTAAAAAAACTACATGGATGAACCTCCATGGTTCAGTAAATGGATCAGTAAAATGAACAAAATTTTATCAATGGAAGATAATTATCGCAATGGTTCTCAAGAGTCTGATGAACACCCACCTGTTGCCCTAGTTGAAATCCCAAAAGCCATAGACATGCTCTGGGATTTCATGCTGCAGCACAAAGACATAAACCTATTTGACTGCACTGAAGACATGGTAGATTGACTGAAAGACTGTATGCTAAGTAGAAAAAAAAGTAGCTTTTCTAGAACCAACTCCCAACATTTTTCAATGCTATTCACTGTATAAAGTCAGACATTAACCTCAAAGTCAGGGAAGGCAAAGGCCTAGTGGTATTATCACTGGACTGTTAGTCCAGAGACTTGGGTAACGTTCCGGATACCTGGTTCAAATCCTGCCACGGCAGATGGTGGAATTTAAATTCAATAAAAGTTTGGAATTAAGGGTCTAATGATGGCCACAAACCATTGTCAATTGTTAGGAAAAACCCATCTGGTTCACTAATGTCCTTCAGGGAAGGAAGCTGCCACCCTTACCTGGTCTGGCCTACAAGTGATTCCAGACCCAGGGCAATGTGGAGGACTCGATTGTCGGCCAGGCAATCAATGCTAGTTGAACCAGTGACGTCTTCATCCCATGAATGAATTTTTTAAAAAATGTTTGAACAAATTGCTTAAATGGTGCTTTTTCTGATATCACAAATGTAGGCAAATCAGCCCTCCAGTTGATATATTGCAATTATTAGTGCATTTCTGGATGGATGAGGCAAGCAGTCTCCCATTTGCTCTCGTTCTCTCACGGCAACAAAAAATTATGATTCAGATTTTACCATCACTGTCATTAACCATCTGAAAGCATCGTAGCTTTTCCATATACTGTACTTGGAAACAAACTTTGAAATCGATTTCTAGATGACAGTGATTCTACAGTACAGATTCCAGAATGCAATCATGACAGAATTACTGATCAGAGCAGAGCAGAGCTACTACCCATTTCTGAAGAAGGGTCTAGGCCCGAAACGTCAGCCTTCCTGCTCCTCTGATGCTGCTTGGCCTGCTGTGTTCACCCAGCTCTACACCTTGTTATCTCAGAGCTACTACTTGATTCATTTCACTATAAAATCTTTTAAAATGTTACTTTGCTTTCAAAGTCAAGTTCTGCATCATTCAACAAAGTAGGTGAATAATGACTTAAATACCTTATCAACCATGAGTAATTTTATTGAATGTCACGTTTGCATTCCACTTTTTTGAAAGCTTAGCAAAACAAAACTTCTATCCATGTGATTATTTCACTAGCTATAAATTTTAAACTTTAAGAGCCAGGATTCAGTGGTTTCTTGCTTTCTGTTTGCAAGAATGATTCCATGTGGCTGCCTGCCCTGCTTAACGACATCCTGCTGCCTTGATTTGGTGACACATTTACACAAAAATTGGGAAAGCATAAAGCTGCCCAGAGATTGCCAGATCTTTGAGGTCAACGGCTAGCTAAAAACTGCCTAATTATTTTTTTAAAAAACAGCACTCTTTATTCTTTTTAAATAGTCTTGAATCATCAGTTAAATGAGTTGGCTCAGTGGAGGTGGAATTTTTGACACTGTTTTGGTGCATTTATTTGTAGGCAGTTACAGTTGTGGCAAGGAAAATGCCACCTAGTTTGGGTCCTTGAAATAGGATTTGGCAAGGTGCTGATAAATCCTCTATGATACATATTACTTCAAGTACAAGGGCCACCTTCTTTATAGATGTATATACAACTTTTATTCAAACACAACAGTGGTATAATATAGCAGCTTACTGTATTAGAGGCTCAACCAAACAGAGTAAAATCTGTATTGAAAATTATTGTAAAATGCAGTACTTTACACCACTTGATATTAAAAACACAACAGAAACAAGACAGCTAATGGTTCGATTCAAGTTCACGGACACTCCCCTATAAGCAAGGAGAACATTTACAGCAAAGCAGATTTTCTGCAAAGTTCTCAACAGTAAAGGGATAAGAATTCTCAATGAGGACATGGAATGAGACCTACAAGACTGGCATGAGTATTCAAGTTGCAGTCAGGGGTGTAGGGTGGATTCAAAAGAAATATAGTTAGATTCAGCACCCATATAGAATTCCATAGGAACAAACAATAAAATGACTACACAGTAACTAATATTCAGACTATAAACACAAAAGACATTACGTCTGAGCTCCAAGTACATTTAATCATAGTTGCATCCTGCAGTTTGGAGCCTGAAATCAAGTCAAACTTTAAAGCAATTCATTGTGAACAGCAAGGAGACAAGAGAAGGCATCAAAAAGGGTGACGGAAGGGAAGAAAAGCTGACAAGATTTGCCACCTCTATTCTCACCCAAATAGCTTACTTATTGCCAATTGTAAATGGAACAACACAGCTGAATGGCACTCTGCAAACCCAGAATAGCCTGTCTGGAGACAAAAGAATAGCAATGAGGCAGTAGTTGGTGGTTTACAAAAACGTAGGTAGTACTATTGCTTTGGAAAATATATAGCTACTAAAAGGTAAAATCAATGCAATTCAAATAAGAAATTCTAGATCTTTATTGAAACAAACCAATATAAATCACTCTGCAAGCAATAGCTGTGCTAAATATATTTTAATTTGGAAGAGGAGAGCTTAGTTTTTAGTCTTACATTAAATGGAATTTCATGTGGAACATGTGATGTACGTTTTAAACTGAAAAGCTATAAAAATGGCTCATGTCGTCAACATAATATATAACGTAGGCCGGACATTTTCTCCCCCAATGGCTCAGTTGACAAAGTGCATCCAGTTTGAAATGGAGTCTCAGACAGCAAGAGCTCCAGTGTTTGATGCCTAACCTGTGCTGTATTAAGTGATCTCACCTGGGGACAGCACTGCTACTATTACTTCTGTTTGGAGGAATTTAAAGGAAAAAATGAACAGTTCCAAAGCAACAGATAGCCACCAATGCTGTTAAAAGCATGGATTTGAATATCAGGAGTAAAAATGACTAAGACACTGTTTCTACTAATATTTAATAGAGTTGCTTCAATTTAAAAAGTAGCTTCTATGATGAGGACTTGGAAATGTATTCAACATGAATCTGAGAGCTCAGGAATGCAGAAATTTTGTGAAGACAGGAGGAGTCTAAAACACTCTTCACATGAGTCTTTCTTGGCAAGTCTCACTTTCTTCCAATTCTCCTTTGTTCATTGGCTATCACAAAAATTGCAACAACCTTGAATCGTGTCACACTGAATGGGAAGCAGAAGAGATGCTTTTAAAATATTGTAAAAGAGCTAATCAACCATCACTTAAATAGAAGACGTTAGTAGTTAATCTCCACAGAACTAATCTAAACTGACAGCTAAATTTAAAGTGAACACAGACAATTACTCTTTCTGAAGTAAATCATCTCTGTATACAATAAACACATAATAAATATTTTGACAGTGTGTTGTGGGGCAGGTGATGTTTGGGGGAGGGGGTGGTGGAAGGAGAGTAAACAAAAGAGAAAGGGTGTACAAAACAGCTCAGTAATTTCCTTTACTATATGCTGCAATGGTTCAGCAACATTTCATGAATTCTGATGAAGAAACATCGGAAACTAATCGGAAAAGGCAGCCTTACAAACATTCGCTCATTGTCCTAATGCCATCAGCCACAAACCAGAAGATTTTTTTTTTAGAAACCATTTTCATCACAACAAAGTCAAGCATCAAATTTGGGAATTCTGTACAACTAGTTAAAAAGGACCAATGAATGCACAATACACAAAATATGTAACTGGGAGAACACGATTAATCTTTATGTTTTCAGCCACTTTTCTACAATCTTTTCCAATAAAATAAGATGACATTGTTCAGCTTTGGTCAACAATTTATACAATGACTGTGTGGTTAGTCTTGGGAGCAGTAAAACAACCAATGGCCATTATTGGATGAATGGACCGAATCCCAGATCAATGCAATATTACTGTTGTTACTTATTAGAAAGAATCTAACAAATATACAATTGCATTTCTAGAAGCAGATACCATTTAGCAGGGTCCACTGTAACAAACTTCGGCCACCTTTTTTCTAATCCCTTTTTCCAAAACAAGATAGCATCATGGAAGCATACACCACTCTACGTAATAAAATTGAGATTCTTATTGTTTCAAATTACCCATCTATCAAGAATTTCTTTCACTCTAAGTGGAGAAGACATAGTTCTTCACAGATTACAATTCAACATAAGGAAGATATAAAAGGGTCATTATAGTGTCCCTACACTACATACCCTAAAAATGTTTCACTGCGGACATGTAAATACTTTTTTCCCTAAATGTTACATCACATCAAAAAAAAAACACTTCCTGAAATAATTTGAATGAAACTGAACTGCTTTCTTCTAGATATAGGAGTCTTAACAATTGATGATTGTGGTACAGCAGTTTGTAAATCCCTCGCAATGTAATGTCCATCCAGTTTGCATAAGCACCTTTTAAATTTTTCTTTAAAAAAATTAAACTGAGAGAAAACTTGGCAAACTATCAGCTTACCAACTGAATACTGTGCAGATATTTATCATTTTAAAACAGATTGGTTTTACACTGATCTAGCTCACTGAAACAGATTCATATATACTACAGAAATACACATAAGAGACAGTATCCCCTTTTTGATCCCCTTCTCATTTGCGTTTCTACACATACTGAATTTTTCAACAGTTCTGTTGAACCACTTGGCAGTAGAAAGATAGAGCAAGTGCTGTATGAGGATGCAGCAACATTTGCTTGCCTTAACCCCATCAACCCTGAATTGCCAAAACAGAGGCAGATATTTCAGTCTGTTAGCTACGTGCATGAGCTACAGAGATTCTTTTGTTTTGAGTGCCACTTCAAATTCTAATCTACCATATGACAGCCTAAAGAAATTTAGCTGGACACAGTCTGATAGGTAAAGTTGTGAAAGCATCATTGCTACTGACTTTAGCAGCATTGAGGAACGAGATGAAGGAATTAAAAAGGCTTATTTCAACAGAAATTAAAATTAGGAAACTGGGAACAAAAAAGTACTCTCTGGATAACCTTCATGCTATCTTCAATATTTCAAGGTCCTCTGCACTAGCAATAATGACAACAACTAGCACCTATAAATTGTTCACAGCCTTTTTGGTTATAATAAAAAAGTACATGAAATACAATATTTTTTTAAAAACAGATTCAGAAATCAAACATATCAGAAGGGTAGGCATGAACTATAAAGGAGGGTCAATTTACGGTGCTCAAGTTCCTTGTTTCTTCTCTGTTGTTCATTTTCTCTAGCAACCATTCACTTAGATCTTCAACTCCTTATATCTGAATGAGACCCAGCAGACTGAACCAGAAAACACCCTTCAGAGAGATAAGTGACTTGCTGATGGTATTACCTTTTTTCCCACCTTCAAACCAATTATAAAAATATATTTTTAAATTTCTATTCACGCACTTTGAAAACATTTTCCCTTGTTCATGCCTCTCCCAAGCTCCATCAGCAGAACAGCTGAGAATTAAACTGTAATGTAATAGCAAATACAAGGATATTTCAGAGAGCAAATTCCAGGTGTGCCTCAGTGTTATGCCACTTGCCTTCAAATTCTCCTAGAAAAAGCATGCAAGGCAATATATTCTAGAGATATTTGACTTCAATCTCTCCTCTTGCTCTCCGTTACCCTCCTGAAGCTCCTTTTACACAAAACAAAATGGGACCGATGGGAAGGCAGGCTATTTTGCGGCATTCATCATTTCATAACAATAACCATTTAAGCAACTCTGAAAATCCCAAGATTGCAATTAATTGAAGGGCTCTCCCATCGCAGCAGTGAGCATTCCGCTATAAATGTCAGCTGTTCCATTCAAAGCAAGAACAAAGCTGCCTGTTCACCGATTGCAGGAGTTTTAGGTTCATGATATAGTTTTTGGTCACTAAGAATGTTGCGTACACCTGACCGTCAGCAAATGTACGCACGCTAAAAGGGATACTGTCTCTAAACAATGGTGATAGTCTAACCGTCTCTGCTCTCTCAACAGGCCACATGACTCTGCAAGTACGTGTGTAGTATTTTTTTTCCCCGCAGCACCAAGTAGGCCAGCCTATAATGACCCATTGTATTTTCTAATAAATGTAACAGAACGCTGTACAATATCTACTAAACATCATCCTTCAACATCATCATCTTCAAGTGAATCCTTTGAATAGTCATCATAGATTTCCTTCACAGCCATAATTCTATTCAGCATGCTCTCCAACATACTCCGATCCATGGGAATGACCGAGTACCACAGGGGGCTCTCTGCCACACAGGAGCGTTCTGGCTGCAAGTAGAAAACATCATTCCTGCTCTTCATACTCTCAGGGCTGCAGCAAAACAAAAATAAAATATTCATTTGGAGGAGTATCATTCACAAAACATTACTTTTTTTTTTGCTGTTCTCATTCCCCCGCCCTCCTAAGTTCCATTCTGTTGAGACCTTGAAGCAGTTAAGAATTCTTCTCCTGTGCCCCCTCGGCTCTTTACTGTGATGACACATTTGGAGCCAATTTTTTCATTTGGTAACAAAGCTATACAAAAGCTAAGACAGCTGTTAGGTTAATTCCCAAATTATTTACTCTTCAGCAGAAGTGAACAAAGTCACAGCAATTAGTCTCTGCATCCATACATCATTGGTGGAAACTTTTGCACACAAACACATAATTAAAATATAATGACATGGCATCCATAATCACTGCCCATAATAGCCATGAATAACTAATTTCCTGAAGGTTACAGTGCTGTTTGTCTGGGATTGATTTTAAACATGACTTGGCACAGCAATCTTCCATTTATTGCATCTTGCTCAAGAAATTACTCTGCCCTCATTGGGAGGTCACAGTTTTGTTTGAATCATTGAGATCCTTCTTAGATTGATTTTGTGAACAGACTTTGCTTGCTGGGTGAATAAACTGTTGTTTGCTCAAAAATGTATATGCCTCATGGGTAACAGAGGTCAGCACAATGACATTAATAGGTATTCCAGTTAACAGATTGCACTTGCAGCCCCTGACGTCAAACATTCTGCAGTTGTGCATTCAGTTAAAAACTGTGATGTATGAGATGTATGAAACCATACTGACATTAATCTGTTCTTTCCAATCTACTGAAAGAGCACAGTTCCTCTTAAGAGGGGACCATCTTCATTAAAAAGCTTCATTTTAATTTTTGCAGCAGCAGAACAACCAAAAGAAACCACATGGAAGTGCATTATTTTTCTCTCAATGTCATCTCCAAACAGATTGTAGTTTTATACACATCAATACAAAGTAGACATTTCAGAGTCTTTTCTGTAAGAGAATCTGACCTTTAATAGGGTCATTAAGTCTGTACTGAATTATTCTATATCAATCTCATCTTCCAGCACTTGGCCCTATAGTCTTGAATGTTACAACACTTCAAGTGCTCATCTATGTACTTTTTAAAAGGGCCCGATGTTTCCTGCCTCTACTACCTTCCCAGATTCTCACCAGTCTCCAGGCGAATAAAGGCTTTCCTTAAATCCTCTAGCCTCTTGCCCTTCACATTAAAATTATGCTCCCTTGTACTGACCTTTCAAAGGGGGGACAACTGCTTCTTATTTACCCTCTCCACACTCCACAATCAGTTCCCCTTGTGCTTCCCTGCTCTAAAGAAAACAAACCAAGTCTATCCAGTTCCTCTACATAGCTAAAATGCTCTAACCCAGGCAGTATCCTGGTCAATCTCTTCTGCACCACCTCCAGTGCAAAAGTGAATGAAGATGCTACTTTTTAATAAACTTGTGCCTTTGAATTCTAATATATAAATTAGAAGCAGATGGATTCTACTTGATGACATCATGAAGGTAGTGAGAAGATTAGCAACTTTTTGGTGTCATGTAATGTGCAAGTAATGCTGTTTGGTCTGAAGGGAACATTCTGAAACGCAAGCTATCCAAGCTGGAAGCATTGCTTTACGTGACTCACTCCGAATTTTGAATACACATTAAATAATTCATTTGGATATTTGTAAATAAGCCTTTGCAAGGTATTTCATAAGGAGATCAACAGAAAGTTATTTTTAAAAAATCCACATTCATACTGGCAGATTCTGTTGAGCAGCTTCTGAGTCAGAGTACACAGACTAACAACTGTGACTTAGATAATTTCTACAGAGCAAATAATTTGAAATTAACTTTCTAGCTGGGATGCTTTTGTAAAGTTTTGTTGTCATATTAAGTAACATATTGCATCAAGGTATCACTTTGACAAAATAAGCAGGTTGTTCCTTAGCCACTTTTCTAATCCACAGCATGCATATCATTCTTCATTCTCCTTAACCTTAAAAGATAGAAACAGTGATAGACCAGGCAGAAACTGCATGAATTCAGGAGGGGGAAATCGTGCTTGACAAATCTTGTGGAATTTTTCACGGACATAATTAGTAAAATTGAAACAGGGGAAGCCAATGGATATGGCTTACTTGGACTTTCTATAAGGTCCCACTTAAGAGATTATAATATAATACTAAAGCACATGAGATTAAAGGTCATGTACTGACATGGAGAGAGAACTGGTTGACACATAGGAAATAAAGAAAAGGAATAAATAGGTATTTTTTTAAGTGACAGCCAGTGGCTAGTGGGGTACCACAGGGGAAATCAGTGCTTGGACCCCAGCTAGTCACAATACACAATAATAATGGAGGGAACTAAATGTAACACCTCCAAGTTTGCAGACAACACAAAGATGAGTGGAGGGTGAACTGTGAGGAGAATGCAGAAATGCTTCAGTGTGATTTGGACAAGTTGGACAGGTGCGTAAATGCATTGCAGAAGAAATATGTGAGGAATCCACTTTAGTAGCAAAACCTGACAGGCAAATTACTATCTGAATGGTGATAGATTGGTAAAGGGAAGTGCAATGAGACCTGGGTGTCCTTGTACATGAATCACTGAAATGAAGTACGTAAGCATGCAGATGCAGCAGACGGAGAAAGCAGCAAATGCTGTGTTGGGATCCACAGTGAGACGTTTCAAGTATGGAGCAAGGATGTCTTGCTGCAATTGTATAGGGCCATGGTGAGACCAAGCCTGGAGTGCTGTGTGCAATTTCGATTTCCTTATCTGAGGAAGGACGTACAACGAAGGATTTACCAGACTGATTCATGGAATGGTACGTATGGAAACAGATTGGATTGGTTAAGACTATATTCACTGGAGTTTAGAAGCGGGAGAAAGTCTCATAGAAAACTGTGGAATTCTAACAGGACTAGACAAAGCAAATGCAAGAAGGCCGGTCCCAATGAACGAGGAATGCAGGAGCAGAGGTGACAGTTTATAGATACTGGGTAGGCCATTTAGAACTGAGATAAGGGGAAATTTCTTCACCCAGACAGTGGTAAGCCTGTGGAATTCTCTACCACGAAAGCAGTTGAGTTGTTTTTAAGAAGGAGGTAGACATAGTTCTTAGGGCTCAAGGGATATGGGGAGAAAGCAGGAACTGAGAACTGAATTAGAAGATCAGGCATGACCATATCGACTGGAGCAGGCTCAAGGACCAAATGGCCGACTCCACGGATTTTCTATTTCTCCATAATGTTGTTTCACAAGCAGATGAAAGAGTAGTGTTTGTTTTCAACATAAAGGCAGAGTCAGTTTTCCCTACTAATAAAAACTAAAATCTATTTACACAATGCCAAGATAAAAGTATGGTTGCGTCCTGCACAAAATAACCAGTCAGAAAGGGAAAAAGTCGCATGAAGTAAATGTTTTTCCATTTACAATGGATCCACCTTACCATCTCAAATACCAACCTTTCTATCTCACCACTGGCCACTAATCTCAGATCCTCCTATCTCTCTCTGGCTCAAAACCACAATCTCCTACGTTTACCAACATTAAAGTCAGTCAATATTACTTCCAACACCACTTCTGTGGCAACACAAGACACTTTAGTTGAGAGAACCATCTCCCCATATGACCCTGAGTTGAATGTAATTCATTTTTCAATTAACTTGAAAATATTTAGAACGAAAACCACCGGACAGATTACAAAAGTAAGTTTCATCTTCCCTAAGAAAACAGAAAAACCTCTTCATTCTGCTTATAATTTTGTTGTACCGGGCCAGTGACTGAAAGTAATAATGGACAGCAAAACTAGAAAATTTTCAACATCAAAACTGTTCATCTTGATGACAAAAATCCACGTAAATGTAAGTTTAAAATAAGTGCAGGAAGGAATTAGTGGTCTCACCATTTTGAGAGGTAGAATTCATAAAATTTCACAGGGCATCTTAATGGATTCATTCTGTTTTCTCTCTGTTCTAGAACAGCAACTTCCTCTTCACGTTTCCTCTTTCCCATAGTGCTGCCTATAAACAAACAATAAAAAAGGGAAGAATAAAACTGAACCATCAACAACAGTAGAAATGGATTTTCATTTGGTAGCATAAAACAGTACAGAAATGATTTGTACAAAATTTTATTTCAGACTATCCAGAACAAACAATATTTATAGTGAATGTTTTGAGTCACATTATTCAAAGCTATTAGTCATTCTGTGAATTCTATAATAAAAACAAACAAAAGGGCCGGGCAATCTGTTATATCCGAGTGATGTGGTAACTGGTGGACCCCCTTCTGGCTCATACTGACCACATTGTAGCAAGTGTTGGCTGTTTCAGGAACTGCAGCTCAGAGTTGATGAGCTGGAGTATGAGCTTAGAAAACTGTGACACATCAGGGAAGAGGAGCATTACCTGGATGCTGTGTTTCAGGGGGCAGTCATACCCCTTAGGTTAACTATCTCGTATTTGGTCAGTGGTCAGGGACAGAAGGGTGTGACTGTGAGTGAACCGGGTAGGGGGATCCAGGAGGTTGTGCAGAGGGAGCCTCAGCCTTGAGCTTATCTGACAGGTTTGAGATTCTTGCTCCCTGTGTGGATGAGAGGGGACTGTAAGGAGGATGAGCAAACTGACCACAGCACTGTGGTACAGGCAGCCATTCAAGAGGGGGGGGGGGGGAAGAAAAGATAAATGTAGTTGTAAGTGGGGATATTATAGTCAGAGGAGCAGACACTATTCTGTGGCCAGGATTGAAAGTCCTGAAAGCTGCGTTGCCTGGGTTCAGGATCTCTTATTGGAGATGCAGAGATACTTAGGAATGAGAGGGGAAAGAGTGAATTGTCATGGTCAACATAGGTATCAACGCTATAGGTAGAAAGAAGAAAGAGGTTCTGCTGAGGGAATATAAGCAGCTGGGAATAAATTAGAAACAAGAACTAAAACCCGAGTTACCATCTGAGCCACGAGTTAATTGGCATCAGGTCAACAAGATTAAAGAGGTAAACACATGGCTCAAAAGATTGGTCCGTGAGAAAAGAAATTTGAATTCACAGGACGGCTGCACCTAAGTCATGCTGGAACCAGAGTGCTGGCATATCGCATAAGTAGGGATGCAGATAGGGTTTTAAATGAAATGGTGTGTGTGTGTGCATGCGTGTACGTATGTGTGGGCTGGTGTTGGTGAGTTCAGTTGCATAGAAAATTATGAGAAGATGTTGAGGGGGGTGGAGGGAGGGCTCAGCAGAGGCTATTAAAGTTTCCAGAACAAATAATAAGGCAGAGTATGGAAAGGATCAGGAATCTAACTTCAGATTGTGGGGCAACTTTGAGAAGGAGTTAACGCGGGACTAAAGATGTTGTGCTTAAACATGCACAGTATATGAAAAAAGGTAAATGAGTTTTGTAGCTCAGATTGAAATTGGCCAGTACAATGTGTAATCATCACAGATGTGGCTGCAAGGAGATGAGAGCAAGAAACTAAAATCTCCAAGATATCCCTTTCAAAAGGACAGACAGATGGGCAAAGGGGTGGGGTTGTTTGTTAGTAAGAAATTAAATTAAATCAATAGTAAGAAGCAATATACAATCGGAAAGTGTAATCTGTGTGGACAGACTTGAGGAACCGCAAAGGAAAAATATCTTGATAGGAGTTATGACATGCCTCCTAGCAGGTAGTCAGGATGAAAATAAATCAGAAGTTAGAAAAGGCATGTAAGAAAGGCACTATTATCATGGGGCACTTCAATATGCGGTTGGACTGAGGAAATCAGGTTGGTAGCAGATCCCAAGAAAAGGAATTTGCGTACAAGACTTTTTTTTGAGCAGCTTATGGAAGAGCTCATGTGGGAACATGCAATTCTGGATTTGGTGATGTGTAATGAGGCAGACTTGATTAGGGATCTTATAGTGAAGGAACCTCTAAGGGCCAGTGACTATAATATGACAGAATTCACCCTGCAGTTTGAGCGAGACAGAGCGAGAGCGAGAGAGAAGCATAAATCAAATTTAATGGTATCATAATTGACTAATAAGGGAGACATGAGGGAGGAACTGGCCAGAGTTGATTGGAAGGGCAGCAGAGCAGGGAAGATGGTGCAGCAGGAGTTTCTGGGGTAAATCAGCAGAAATTCACCTGAAGGAAAAGGAAACATCCTAAGGGGAGGACAAAGCCTACCAGGGCTGACCAGGGAAGTCAGGTGCAGTAACGAGGATCTGACGAGAAAAATCAAAAAGCAGAAGAAAAAGCATCCAATGGTGGTGAAGAGTTGTGGGAAGGCTGGAGGATTCAGAAGGCTTTAATAACCAGCAGAGGGCAATGAAAAAGTAATAATGGGGGAGATGATGAAATATGGGGGCAAGCTAGGGAGTAAAAGATTACAAAGTTTTTTGATATATAAAAGGTAAGAGGGGGCCAAGGAGTGTGGCACTGGCAAATGAGGCTAGAGAAGTAGTAATGAGAAGCAAGGAAATGGCAGATGAATTGAATACGTACTTTGCATCAGTCTTCATGGTGGAAGACACCAGTAGCATACCAGAACTACAAGAGAGTCAGGAGTTGAGGTGACTGTAGTGGCCATCATTAGGGATCACATGACACTAGGCTATAGTCCAACAGATTTATCTGAACACACTAGTTTTCACAGCATTGCTCCTTCCTCAGGTATAGTAAGGAAGGAGATATCAAGACATGGAATTTCTAGGTAAAAGATCAAACAACTGATGCGAATGTATTGAATAAAGCTAAAATGGCTGGTTGACTCCCTCTTGTTAAATCCTAAATCAGTTTCGAAAGGGAGGTGCATTTTAATCACTCAAAACCTACAAATTCCAGAATTTCTTTCAAGTCATCTCAGGTCAGACAATGCATTTTGGGTGTGAGGCCTTGTTTAGAATCTGTGTTTTAACCTGAAGTCAGACAGGATTTATTTCCAAAGCAGGAATTTATAAAATGCCCCACTGACCGTGTGTGCGTGTTTGTGACAGAGAGTGTGGGTGTGTGCGTGTGCGCGCGCGCTCGTGCACGTGTGAGAGAATGTGTGCAAGAGTGTATAGTGCGGAGGGGTAACCTGTAGCGTGACATGAACCCAAGATCATGGTTGAGGCCATCCTCATGGGTAACGAACTTGGCTATCAGCCTCTGCTCAGCAACTCTGCATTGTTGTGTATCCTGAAGTCCGCCTTGGAGGACATTTACCCAAAGATGCGAGGCCGAATGTCCTTGACTGCTGAAGTGCTCCCCTACTGGGAGGGAACATCCCTGTCTGGCAATTGTTGCGCAGTGTCCATTCATCCTTTGTCATAGCGTCTGCATGGTTTTGCCAATATACCATGCCCTGGGGCATCCTTGCCTGCAGTGTATGAGATAAACAACGTTGGCCGAGTCATGGGAGTATCTGCCATGCATGTGGTGGGTGGAGTTCCCACATATGATGGTAACAGCTATGTCGATGATCTGACATGACTTGCAGCGGTTGCCAATAGCAGGGTTATGTGGCGTTGTGGTCAATGTTGTCCTGAAGGCTGGGTAGTTTGCTTCAAACAATGGCCTGTTTAACGTCTGGCGGTTGTTTGAAGGGGAGAAGTGAAGGCATAGGGAACGTCTTGGGGAGGTGCTCATTGTCATCAATAATGTGTTGAAGGCTACTAAGAACATGGCATAGTTTCTCTGCTCTGGGGAAGATCTCGACGACAAAGGGTACCCTATCGGTCGTATCCCATGTCTGTCTTCTGAGGAGGTCATTACAGTTTTCTGCTGTGGTATGTCGGAACTGGCGATCGATGAGTTGAGCATCATATGATATTCTTATGATGGCGTCCTTCAACACCGGCACTTCCACATCATCATAAAGGACAAAATACCGGGGAAGCTGAAATGTCTGAAGGTGGATAAATCACCCAAACTAGATGGACTGCACCGCAGATTTCTGAAGGAGACTGCTGAGGACACTGCCACCAATGCCTGTACAATCCTTCAGGAATCACTAGATTCAAGAAAGGTCCCAGAAGACTAGAAAATGGCTGACATAACATCCTTGTATAAGAAGGGAGGAAGGCAGAAGATGGGAAATTACAAGTCAGCTAGCCTGACCTCAGTCGTTACTAAGATTTTAGAGTCCATTATTAAGGATGAGATTGTGGAGTACTTGGAAGAGGATGGTAAAATAAGGTTGAGTCAGCAAGCTTCATCAAGGGCAGGTCACGCCTGATAAATCTGTTCGAATTCTTTGCAGAGGTAACGAACAAAATAGACAAAGGAGAACCAGTAGATGTGATCTTTTTGGATTTCCTGAAGGCCTTTGACAAGGTTCTCATCAGGAGGCTCCTAAATAAGAGCCCACGGTTTTAGAGACAAGGTACTGGCATGGATAGCGGATTGGCACTGGCAGAAGACACTTTAAATTGCTTTAAGAACTGTAACTCAGGTGCAGTGAATAAGACTACGTGAGAGAAGGAGAAACAAAACACCCAGATGACTGTCCTCAAGCAGAGGTGATAAAAGAGTTTTTCAGAACAGCAGATGAGTTCTGCAGGAATCTGTGTTGGATGTTACGTTATACATTAACAATCTGCATAAACAAATTGTGGGCATTGTGTCATCTGCAAACTTGATTGAAGACTGTATTCTAGTCTAGAAGGATGACGGGGGGGATCTCACTGAAATTTACAGAATACTGAGACACCTGGATAGAGTGAACGTGGAGAAGATGCTTCCGCTAGTAGGAGAGACGAAGACCCGTGCGCACAGCCTCAGAATGAAGGGACTAAGATGAGGAGGAATTTCTTCAGCCAGAATGTGGTGAATCTGTGGAACTTGTTATTAAGTGTTTCTACGACGGGGATAACTTCTTGATTAGTAAGGGGGTCAAGGGATATGGGGAGAAAGTAGGAGAATGGGGTTGAGGAACATATCAGCCATGATTGAATGGCTGAACAGACTCAATGTGCTGAATGGCCTATTTCTTTCCTATATCTAATGGTCTAAAAGCTGAACAACGTTTCAGCTGCAAGATGGTGCAGAATTTTACTAA